AGAGTAGGGTATTACACCACATCGGTGGCCCGAACCAGTATAAACTCTTGTGTCTCGTGTTCTTTGGGTCCGTCGAGCTAGGCCGTGAGATCATGATGCGTGCGAGCTAGAGAGGGGGAGATCTTTGTGCGCACCCCAGTGTTCGAACCTCAAGGGTTTTGCCGGAACCCGAAATCTGACAGATATTTCAGTAGGTGTAAACTTATTCAAATCAAGTCTACGATATAAAGAGAGAGGCATAACACTAACACCGGCTCCAAGATCACATAAAGCAGTTTTAACATAGTTTCTTTTAATGGAGCATGGTATAGTTGGTACTCCTGGATCTCCTAGTTTCTTTGGTATTCCACCCTTAAAAGTATAATTAGCAAGCATGGTGGAAATTTCAGCTTCCGGTATCTTTCTTTTATTTGTGACAATATCTTTCATATACTTAGCATAAGGATTCATTTTAAGCATATCAGTCAAACGCATACGCAAAAAGATAGGTCTAATCATTTTAGCAAAGCACTCAAAATCCTCATCATCCTTTTTCTTGGACGGTTTAGGAGGAAAAGGCATGGGTTTCTGAACCCATGGTTCTCTTTCTTTACCGTGCTTCCTAGCAACAAAGTCTCTCTTATCATAACGTTGATTCTTTGATTGTGGGTTATCAAGATCAACAGCAGGTTCAATTTCTACATCATTCTTATTGCTAGGTTGAGCATCAACATGAACATCATCAGTAATATTATCACTAGGTTCATGTTCATTACCAGATTGTGTTTCAGCATCAGAAATAGAAATATCATTGGGATTCTCAGGTGTGTCAACAACAGGTTCACTAGAAGCATGCAAAGTCCTATCGTTTTCCTTTTTGTTCTTCTTGGAAGAACTAGGTGCATCAACATTAGTTCTATGAGAATCTTGCTCAATTCTCTTAGGGTGGCCCTCAGGACACAAAGGTTCCCGAGTCATTTACCCCCTCTAGTCACAACTCTAACAACGTTTTCATTTTTCTTATTATCTAATTCATTGAGCAAATCATTCCGAGCTTTAAGTACTTGTTCTACTTGAGTGGTAACCATAGAAGCATGTTTACTAATAAGTTTAAGTTCACCTTTAACTCTAGACATGTAATCTCTCAAGTGTTCAATCATATAAGCATTACGTTTCAATTGTCTACCAACATAAGCATTGAAGTTTTCTTGTTTAACAATAAAATTATCAAACTCATCCAAGCATTGGCTAGCAGACTTAGTAGATGAGATTTCACCCTTATTAAATCTATAGAGAGAATTTACCTTTACTACCTGTTTCGGGTTATCAAGACCATGTATTTCTTCAATAGGTGGTAAATTCTTAACATCTTCGGCTTTAATACCTTTTTCTTTCATAGATTTCTTTGCCTCTTGCATATCTTCAGGACTGAGAAATAGAATACCCCTTTTCTTCAGAGTTGGCTTAGGAGTTGGTTCAGGAAGTGTCCAATCATTTTTCATTACTCGACATATTATTCAATAGCAATTCAGCTTGATCAATAATTCTTTCCCTGAAAACACAACCAACACAACTATCCATGTGGTCTTTGGAAGCATCGGTTAGTCCATTATAAAAGATATCAAGTATTTCATTTTTCTTGAGAGGATGATCAGTCAAAGCATTAATTAATCGGAGAAGCCCCCCCCCCAAGCTTGTGGGAGACTCTCTTATTCAATTTGCACAAAATTAAATATTTCCCTTGAGGCAACTTGTTTCTTATGAGCGGGGAAATATTTAGCAGAGAAGTAATAAATCATATCCCGGGGACTACGCACACAACCAGGATCAAGAGAATTAAACCATGTTTTTGCATCACCCTTTAATGAGAACGGAAATAACTTAAGGATATAGTAGTAATGAATTTTCTCCTCATTAGTGAACAGGGTGGATATATCATTCAATTTAGTAAGATGTGCCACAACAGTTTCAGATTCATAGCCATAAAAAGGATCAGATTCGACCAAATTAATTAACTCAGGGTCGACAGAGAAATCATAATCCTTATCGGAAATGCAGATAGGTGAAGTAGCAAAAGTAGGGTCATATTTCATTCTAGCATTCAAAGATTTTTCTTTCAGCTTAGCTAACAGTTTCTTAAGATCATATCTGTCATTGCAAGCTAAAAAGTCTCTAGCGGTTTCTTCATCCATAACATAACCCTCAGGCACAACATACAATTCATATCTAGGGGGAGAATCTTCATCATCATCACAAGTACAGGGATCGCAACAGTTTTTGAGGGTAGAGTATTCAACCCAATTTTTTTGATTCGACACAAGGGGAGCCAAAGAATATTCTCAAGTATTAACAGTTGAGTTGTCAATTCAACCGCACCTGAAAGACTTAATATCTGCAGCAAAGTATTTAGTAGCAAAGTAATATGGAAGTAGCGGTAACGGTGGCAAAAGTAACAGTAGCAATTTTTGTAGTGATTGTAACAGTGGCAACGAAAAAGTAACTAAGCAAAGATCAATATGTGAAAAGCTTGTAGGCAATGGATCAGTGATGGATAATTATGTCGGATGTGATTCCTCATGCAATAGTTATAACATAGGGTGACACAGAACTAGCTCTAGTTCATCATAATGTAGTCATGTATTCTGAATATAGTTATATGTGCTTATGGAAAAGAATTTGCATGACATCTTTTGTCCTACCCTTCTGTGGCAGCGGGGTCCTATTGGAAACTAAGGGATATTAAGGCCTCCTTTTAATAGAGTACCGGACCAAAGCATTAACACTTAGTGAATACATGAACTCCTCAAACTACGGTCATCTCCGGGAGTGGTCCTGATTATTGTCACTTCGGGGTTACCGGATCATAACACATGGTATGTGACTATTGACTTGCAAAATAGGATCAAGAACTCACATATATTCATGAAAACATAATAGGTTCAGATCTGAAATCATGGCACTCGGGCCCTAGTGACAAGCATTAAGCATAGCGAAGTCATAGCAACATCAATCTCAGAACATAATGGATACTAGGGATCGGACCCTAACAAAACTAACTCGATTACATGATAAATCTCATCCAACCCATCACTGTCCAGCAAGCCTACGATGGAATTACTCACGCACGGTGGCGAGCATCATGAAATTGGCGATGGAGGAAGGTTGATGATGACGATGGTGACGGATTCCCCTCTCCGGAGCCCCGAACGGACTCCATATCAGCCCTCCCGAGAGAGATTAGGGTTTGGCGGTGGCTCCGTATCGTAAAACGCGATGAATCCTTCTCCTTGATTTTTTCTCCCCGAACGTGAATATATAGAGTTGGAGTTGAGGTCGGTGGAGCCTCAGGGGGCCCATGAGACAGGGGGCGCGTCCAAGGGGGGTGGGCGCACCCCCACCCTCGTGGACAGGGTGTGGGCCCCCTGGTGTTGATTCTTTCGCCAATATTTTTTATAAATTCCAAACATATTCTCCGTGAAGTTTCAAGTCATTCCAAGAACTTTTATTTCTGCACAAAAATAACACCATGGCAATTCTGCTGAAAACAGCGTCAGTACGGGTTAGTTCCATTCAAATCATGCAAGTTAGAGTCCAAAACAAGGTCAAAAGTGTTTGAAAAAGTAGATACGTTGGAGACATATCACCTCCCCCGGGGCACCCCCAGGTGCAGCTTTGGTCATCCTGGGTGTTTCGGTCCATAAAAAATCTCCAAAAAGTTTCGCGATGTTTGGACTCCGTTTGATTGATTTCTTGCAATGTAAAAAACAAGCAAAAAACAACAACTAGCACTGGGCACTGGGTCAATAGGTTAGTCCCAAAAAATAATATCAAATTGCTATAAAATGATTGTAAAACATCCAAGAATAATAATATATCAGCATGAATATTTCATAAATACCAATGTATCACGATGTTCCAAATTAGCATCATCTTCTCTGTTATGAACATTCTGAACTTATAGGAGGCCCTTAATTAACTTCACTTGCACTCACAACATGTGAAGGAATGTCACAACAAAGAAAAACCAAAATGAGAACCACATACTATAGTAAGGTCAGTGTGAGAAGCCAAGTACGCAGTTTATCTTTGGAAGATACAATTTGATAATGGGGGCATGCTACAATGCATATGACATATTTGTAGGAAAAAAGGGAATACTCCAAATGCAACACAATATCACGGGAGGTGCAGATCCTATGTATACTATAGTTACAATTTGAAGCGTGCCATGATTAAGAAAAATGTAAACTGCAAAGGTATCAATGGTCTCAATGGTAAAAAATTCAAAAATCTGTAAAAAAGTCAAACCTTACACATTTAGTTTTGTTATTCATTTATGGGAGGCATCATTCAATGTTGTTTTGTGATTAATAAAGCTGATGTTCTTTGAAAAAAGGTATATGCTTGAACCGATTCTTCAGGGTGAAAATCTATAATGTTACCTTTGGCGGTTGGGTCCGGTGACGGTGATTGAGCATCACTCCATTCATGAAGGCTTTGTTCTTGAAGAATCTTGTTATCCTTATGGTGTCATGAGATGAATGGTGCGGCCATGGTTGTAGTTTGTCAATCACATATTTGATTGCTTTAGTTTTTTTTTATTCTTTCCCCCTCGCTTAGGCATAATTTGGTTTTATATGACTTTACTATTTGTCGGCGTGTTTTTTTCATGTCGGTGTTGGCTATCCTATTTATGTAGAGGCCGGGTGTGCACTCACTTTGTTTGTATCCATTCTATACTTCATTTTTAGCCAATAAAATCCACCTTTTGTAAAAAAAAACTTTTAAGGGGAAACTTTTTTAGGGGAAATGGCTAAAGATGATCTGACATGCCGTTGTTTCATCCACTCAGGCCCAACTAGCCACCTAGCCCAGCCCAACCAAAGATCTCCCTCAAATGCCAAAACTTCAGACCCGCCGCATCGCAAATTCTCCCCTCTCTCGTCGCAGTTTCAAAAAGTTTGCGCTCTCACTGCGCCGATCCGCTCCAAATTAGCCACCCCGCCTCCCCACACCGGCGTATGGCCGCCGCCAAGGAGAACTACCGCGTCGAGCTCCGAGCCGCCGCTCGCCAGCTCGGCGACCGTTGCCTCTACTCCGCCGCGAAATGGTACGCCGCCCGAAAATCCCGTAGGACTCCCGAAAGTCAAAACCCTAACCCTAACAGCCTTCTCCCATCTGCAGGGCCGCCGAGCTGCTCGTCGGCATCGAGCCGGACGCGACGCCGTCCCAGTCGGCGGCAATGGACACCCCGTCCTCCTCGGGCGCCGCCCCCGGCGGGCGGCTGCTGCATCTGCACCGCAGCGGCGGGTCCAGTTTCCGGCGCCGCATGCGATCGGGCGGCGGCGCCGCCTCCGAGGCTGGGACGCCGCTCGGCGGCGTCTCGTACGTGAGCACGCCCATCCCGGACGACGACGCGTTCGACGCAGGGGCCGACAAGTACCTGCTCGCGAAGACCTACTTCGACTGCCGGGAGTACCGGCGCGCCGCTCACGTGCTGCGCTCCCAGGTCGGGCGCAAGGCCGTGTTCCTGCGCTGCTACGCGCTCTACATGGTAAGACATGATACGTCCTGTTTATTCTTTCGAGCGGACTCGTGCCAGTGTGCAGATTTGGGGTAGGGCGTGTGCTGTTTGATGAAATGCTTCACTGGACCTGGTACATTAAAGGTCAGGCTTGGTTATTATTCTGAGTTTCCAATTGAGGAAATGGTATTTTGTAGGAAGTTTTGTGGGTGCTCGTTAGGGCTCCTTCTTGTGCAATTGGAGTAATAGAAGATTTACCTGGATTTTGGTGAAGACAATAAGTCAATAACTGGAATCCTCAATATTTGCTGTTATTGATGGTGAATTTTTTGGTGCTCTGTGGTCCTTTGTGCATAGTCTGATCATTAATATTGTTGGGCAATGGAACACTTCGTTGAAGAAGAGATGCTAGCAGTAGACTAGTAGGTGCTTCAGTTGTTTTGTCATGGTGTAATGAAGCTGGAATAAATTCTGTGGAGCCTCTGGTTTCTTATTTTTGCCTCGTTGATGAAAGTTCAGATTGCATGACCAGACATCCCAAAAATATCTACTCATTTCTTGTTCGTATCTATTACTTTGTTCTTTTGTCTATCAAGTGGTTTTTTCTCTAGGTGTTTGGAAGATGATTGGCTAGCTCTTTGTATGTTAAGTACTCGTTGTGATGATAGATACTGTATATTTACATGCGCGACTTTTTTGTGATAATACAACGGTTCTTCCATAAGGAAGCTCAGAAATTGCTTATGTAACATATTATTTGGCTTTCGTTTGCCAAATACACATGGGATTTCAAATTGTAATGAGAAATGTGCTCCAGCATCATACTATGTGTCAGTGTTTTAGTAAGATTGCCTGCGACACACTGACTTTTTTATACTTTTGGCCTATGGAACGATGGGCCGCTGGCCATGTCCATTTAAGGCTGAGTTTTCTCCCCTCTTTTCTTGTAGCCTACTTTCCCTTGCAGAAACTGTCTGTTTTCTCCATATAGTTTAATCAGCATTTTATTATTTGATATGCCTGATGAACATTTTTATTTGCTCTGCAATTTAGGCTGGAGAGAAGCGAAAAGAGGAAGAGACAATAGAGCTTGAAGGATCTTTGGGGAAGAGCAACGTTGTTAATCAGGAACTTGTTGCATTGGAGAGAGAGCTCTCAACACATCGCAGAACTGGTGCTATTGATTCCTTTGGTCTGTACTTGTATGGCATTGTTCTACGCGATAAAGGCTGTGAAGGTCTGGCTAGAACAGTTCTGGTAGAATCTGTCAATAGCTACCCTTGGAACTGGTGTGCTTGGTTAGAGATACAGTCTTTGTGCACTAGCAGTGACATTCTGAACAACTTAAATCTGAAGAATCACTGGATGAAAGATTTTTTCATCGCTAGTGCACATCTGGAATTAAAGATGCATGAAGAAGCTTTGAAAAGATATGAGCGCTTGATGGGGGTCTTCCGTTGCAGCGACTACATTCAGGCTCAAATAGCAACCGTTCAGTATAGTATGAGGGACCTGGATGAAGCTGACATGATTTTTGAAGAACTCCTCAGAACTGATCCTTTTCGTGTGGATTCTATGGATATTTACTCAAATTTATTGTATGCAAAAGAAAGCTTGACTGCTTTGAGCTTCCTTGCTCACAGGGTGTTTCTGACAGATAAATATCGCCCTGAATCTTGCTGCATAATTGCAAATTACTACAGTTTGAAGGGGCAGCATGAGAAGTCAGTTTTGTATTTCCAAAGGGCGCTGAAGCTTAACCGCAAGTACCTCTCAGCTTGGACTCTCATGGGACATGAGTTTGTTGAGCTAAAAAATACGCCTGCTGCAATTGATGCCTACAGAAGAGCTGTTGATATAAATCCTAGAGATTACCGTGCTTGGTATGGTCTTGGTCAGATCTATGAGATGATGGGAATGCCATTTTATGCACTATACTATTTCCGAAAATCATCCCACCTGCAACCTAACGATGCACGCCTTTGGATTGCTATGGCTCAGTGCTATGAGAGTGATCCGCTTCAAATGATTGAAGAAGCTATCAAGTGCTATGAGAGGGCTGCAAATACTAATGACACTGAAGGAATAGCACTTCACCAATTGGCAAAGTTGCACAGTATGCTTGGGCAAGCTGAGGAGGCTGCATTTTACTACAAGAAGGATTTAGATAGAATGGAAGTTGAGGAAAGGCAGGGCCAGAATTTTGTTGAAGCCTTGCTTTTTCTTGCGAAGCATTGCAAGAGCATGGGCAGGTTTGAGGAAGCAGAACACTATTGCACAAGACTCTTGGATTACACTGGCCCAGTAAGTCATTTGTACACTTTGCTTCAGCCTAATTGAAAAGAAAAACAGATAAAAGGAAACAAAATGGTGAAATCTTGAGATCGGCATTAGCAAATGAGTTAACGAAGGATCATGTTAGTGTGCAAATATGCAATTGAAACCAACTTCAACCTAATTAGGCTGCACCCGCTTTAGTTTGTTTTATTAACATAGTGCATATTTGCTCAGATCGCACTTGAGTGCATCGTTTGCTAGTGAAAAATAGAATATCATCATATATCACCAATATATGCTTGCTGTGTTTTCCTATTGATTCTGATTTGGTACAATTGTATCGTGTTTAATATTTGCAGGAAAAAGAGACTGCAAAAAGTATGTTACAAGGGTTAAAACGAGCACAGTCTGGATTTCCACCGATGGATATCGATCATTTTGCGTTGTAAATTTGACCTCCAGATAAGCTATTTGCTTGGGGAACTTGGACAAAGAGTGTAAATGCACAAGAGAGTAGTGTCACTTGCTTCTTTATTTATCTCCATCTTACATGCAGAGAGGGACAGTACATTTGGTTTCCAGAGAAGGCTAAAAAACAGAGTATCTATGGACAAGGGGAGTTGTTCACCCCACTCCAGGGGCAAGGGACTGCTAGCAAGGGCCGCCCACCTGATGAAATTGGTGTTTCGAACATCTCCAGCCGAGGATCAAGTCCCAGGTTTCCTTCACAATGTGACGGTTATCGTCTGCAGCCTCGCCAGACGACTCCAAAGGGCTGGAGACGATGACCTTGTGCGCATGATGCTCGCCTTCAGCTGCTGGAGGTTGTCAAGTAGGAGAACTAGGCGCCTGCATGGCGTGAAGATGCGCGTCACCGGGAGGATCCAGATCCCCAATTCTAGAAGTGTCAGCATTGTTGGCTGATCTCCGCTTGGCCTCTGAAATTCTATGGCTTTTCTTCACTGGACTGCTTTGCTTTGCTTTGCTTTGTGTTGCCTCCCCCGCAGTTGCCTGCCTATATAAGCCAGGCATCTCTGGAGGACTCGCTTTGTCTGGATTCCGGGTGCATATAATTATTGTTTATCTTCACAGTAGCTGCGGTGCACTATTACTATATTTATAATAAATTCTTCTGCACGAAGCATGTTATCCCTTTGCCTTTGCATGTGTTGATGTTTCGTAGGCCCTGCCTTTTGTGACCGTTGGCACTTGGCAGGGATTTGTTATTTTGCAATAATGCGTGATGCGACTTCAGCTTTAATTTTTCATATTAGTACTAATGCGTGCAAAAACAAATCATTGGCCTGCAAAGATTCTGCCATTTCCCGGTTTAATTATTATCATCTGAGTGGCGCTGACGTTTTCCCCTTTCCCTTTATACTAGTGGCTGTGATGTTACTAGTTTTCTTTTGTTCTGCGGGGCACACCAGTGTTGATCATTGAGCTGTTCATCATTTTGTTTTGGATATCCGTGGCAGCGGTGTCCCGTCACAGCACTGTGATATGATGCGATAAGAGTACCGAATAGTGAGATGCACTGTTGTTGGATGTATCCTCGCTGCGATGCTTTGCCCTATGTAGGATGTAGCTGTGCATGGTTCAACCGTAACACATGATTTTCCTTTCCCCATCTATTAACGCCGTTGCTTCTATTTCTTGGATATCCGTTGCTTGAAGCAACGAGGCGATGACGCAGTTTCATCATTACTCGAGTTTCACCATTCCTTGACGCATGGGGTTTGCCCGACGAGCCGAGGCAAGCAAAAGCAACCGTCCCCTGTTTGTCGGTAGGTCAACGGCTGGCTCCATTAAGGAACGCAGTGCACGCAAACAACGACGAATATGCTCTTAATTATTGTTAAATTAATTAATTAAATTATCCGTGCAAACTGGTGGTCGTAAAGAAGAATTTGGTGCTGTGGCATTTCCGGATCCCAAGAGTCGGCACAAGCAAAGAGTGCCAGAGGGGAGCAGGGGGCACACGTTTCGCATGTCAAACATCGCAATGATCACTGAAAGTCAGAGGAGGGGACACAAGTTCCGAATGTCAAACACCTGAGTGATCATCGAAGGTGGACTTTCATTTTAGTTTTCAAGGTAATTATTTTTTTGTTTTCGAATTGAGGAGGATACCTCCCGACTTCATTCATGCAAAGGATATCATCATCCTTCAGGTCTAAACGTTTGCTACGTAAACGTAAATTGGCAAAACCCGAAACAAGAACATGGCTACAGGGAACAGTTGTGTAAAAACTGGGGGCGCAGGCTCGCAGCGTCGTCGATGCAGGGATAGAATCCTCAATACCATGGGCGCCCGTCCACTATTCCCGCAAAAAAATCTTGCCCGTCACATGCTGCAGTAGTTGGGCAGCAGCGCGCATAGCTCTAAGGAGCTACTTGAGCTATGACACTAGGAGGATCTACATTTCCAAATAGCCCATTTACAAGGAAACAGTTGTTTATTCCCACAGCTCTTGTACAGAGTTCAAGTTCACTATAATATGAAAAGCACAGTCGTTATTCCCACAACCCTTGGGCATTTTTTTACAAAGAAAAGACACCTAAAGAGTATCTTAGGTCTGATAATTATATACTCCCTGCCTTTCATAATGTAGTGCATATATATTTTCTAAAATATTAAAACTTCATATACTTTGGCCGAGTTTCTGAAGAAAAACATTTACATCTAGAACACCAATCATGTATCATTTAAATTCATTATAAGAAATAGTTTCATATTTCATATATTTGGTGTCGCAGATATAAATAGTTTTTCCTATGAACTTGGTCAAAGATTGTATAATTTGACATTGCAAAATATATGTACACATTATATTATGGAACAGAGGGAGTATATAAAAATAGCCAATGCAATGGAAAGACAACTGGTCACAGAACGGTCAGTAAAGATCAAAATTATATTGAAAATCATACTAGTCTTCTTCTTTCTTCAATTATACGCCACCCGCCGAAGATTGAAAATCGCACCAAGTCAACAACAAAGAAAAGGGACATCTGCAAACGTCCTCGCAATACCAGGCATTACTCGCCCCATGAGACGAGATCTAGAAATCACCGAACAGGCATCGGTTGAAGCATCATCCTACGTAGTATAGACTTTGCAATCTATCATCATCGGTCCAGGGAGTTAGAGAAATCAGATCATGCCACAGAATCACACGGAAAAAGATGTCGAAGTCACCTCACCAATAGTCATGCAATGGCTCTCCTTAATAGACCGCCAATATATGAAGAGAGCCAACAGACATGGGGACACAAACTCTCATAGGCCATTCGTCAGCGTCGGATTGGATGTCGTCGAGGCATGAGGAGACCTTATTCCAATAGGCCACAGTCGCCACCACCTCATCGATGTCGTCAGGGAAATAAACCCAAGCAAAAGAAAAAAAACATATAGGTCTCCAGTCCTCTTGCCTCCGGTGAGGCCACCAGACGAAGGAAATGAGGGGACCAAGGCGGCATGGAGAAGATGTTAGAATATTAAACAATTCTGCGATTAATTGCAGTAAGTAATTCATGACTATAACAATAGTTAGCATGCAAGAGTCTAGCATACTAGATGAACAGAAAAACATGCACAATGACAACCATAATTATAGGCATGAACATATCACAACACACATATTGTTCGTTAGTAGTCATAGCTCCTAGAGTGATGTTGTTGATGACGTTGTTGGTGAAGACCGAATTAAGTAGATTACGTTGGAGACGTTAGTACATGACGCTGCCCGACTTGAATGGAAGGCGATCCGTGGTGACAAGCTTGAGTAGTCGCGCAAAGCTCTTTCCAAAAAACCAATTCGTCCTCTCCTAGTGTAAGATCACAATGACAGATGATTTTGGAGACTTGCTCTCCTGCACGTCGGTGCACGCCGGTGTTCGGGATGGAGTAGACTACGGTGGCAGCGCAAGTTGCGAGATGAGGCAAAACCCTAGCTTGTTTCAGTGTGTCTTTGCCCACGGCCGATAAGCAGTATATATAGGAGGACCAAGGCGGTATCGTGTCGAGACCCTGATCTCAAACCGAGTTGGTTTCCAAGTCTTGAATTTATTGAACAAGTAAACATCAACCTGTTTGTCAAGATATAAAAAAGCCGTGCTCCTACAAGACCACGAACTGGATTTCGACGGACCATTCACATGCATGTCACACGCCTACCTCCATTGCCCTGGCCTCGGCCCGAGCCGGAGCCAGGCTAGACGCGGCAAGCGCGCGTGTGGTCTTCTTTTTCTATCCTCAAGACACCACTTACTGGAGTGGAGAGAACCCACAATATAAAGAGGTCTCACATCTCATCAACTTTCAGGGTGGGGCGAAACTTTAGACCCTCCACTTTTCATCTTATGAATGAACTTTTGAATTTTTCTTTTGGGAATTTAAGAAAATTACATGGGCCAAGCCCATTATTCTAACACCCCCGAGATCTAAAATGTCCATTTAGAGATCTTCCCGATTTCGCTTCTTGTTTAATATGCTAGTGTTCCAATAAAGACTTTTAAGTTGAACTTATACGTAGAGCTTTAAGTTACACCCATTTACAACTTCACAATGGACTATGCCTTGAATTACGAGTTTTGTGCAACACGTTTCACTCTAAGTCATAACTAGTATATGGCTGCTAGTAGCCTACCCCGCGGGTGGAGCATATACATCATACTCTCTGGTCTCTTCGAGAGCTTACTAGAGAACACCAAGTCTCATAGACTGCAACGTCTAACATTCGGGGCTCATATATGTGTTTTCTTTCAAGAATGCTCTGTAGGGCAGCATCTTGCTACATATATCCAACAAAAACACATTATATCATGTTGTCAACATGCCTTATAGTTCTTAGAGTTTTGCACCTTCACATAGAGAGGGTTATCGGTTACTCTCCTCCGTTAACCAATAGCTTTTTCTTCCCAGTATCTAAATCACGGGATCTTCGATCACAATGGTTGTTTACTACTATGGAGTAACTTATATGGGTCTCATACCCATCTCCCTCGATGCATTGTGTATCACATTTCATGGTAGTCCCTTTGTAAAGGGATCTGTGATTTTGTTTGTTTGTTTGAATATACGTAACAGTTATTACTCCGAAGTTTCTCAATTTCTAGACATACTTCAAATGTTTGTTCACGTGCCTGGATGACTTTGCAGTATCCTTAGAATTCTTCACTTTAACAACAACCGTTTGATTGTCACAATTCATAAGAATACGCGACACTGGTTTTTCGACCACATGCAAGTCCATCAAGAGCTCATCCAGCCACTCTGCTTCAATAGTGTTTGTGTGTAAAGAAGTGAGTTTTGCTTCCATGGTTGTCCTCATCAAAATTGTCTGCTTACATGACCTCCATGATACTATGCCACCTCCATGAGTAAATACATCAACATCAGAAATCCAGTTAGAATCACTATATCCTTCAAGCACAACATTGTACC